TTAATTGTGAGGATCCAAGCAACTTGGGGAACCCACCCTTAAAAGCTAGCTGTTAAGGGGGAAGAACCAAGTCACTTAAATACCCCATCAAGCAGCCCATACTACCCGATGTGGGACTTTAGTCCCTAACATAGTTGCAAGGTTAAGTGCTTACCGTACTGATGTCTGGAATTTTTTTGTAAGGTCAGTTGTTTAGGTTTTTGGCTTCATATTGAACTTTATATTGACCTTTTTAATGGTAGAAATTAAAACATTGATTGACATGTGTGTTGCTATTATTTTTTTATGCTTAGAGCATTAACTGGAGTCACAAGAAAAGTTTGCCTTCTTGCCTTCTCTTCTCGTCCAGATGCCAGTAGTTGCAAAGGATAAAGAAGAGAGCTGATATGATGTTGAAAAACAGTCAGAAGATAACTTGTTCAAATTTGAATAAATGCCAACTTTGTATAGTGAGGAGAGTCAGTTTATACCAGGTATCTATGTTAGAATTATGGCAAATCTAGGAACGCTTTCTACTTGAGTATGTTCATCCTTCTCCAAAACTTTTAGAGATTTAATATTGCAAGAGAGAAAGTTGCAGAATTTACTAGTCTCAAATTGAGTGTATATTTAGATACAGATCACTAGATATCATCTCAAGTCGTGTCTGCATTTTGTATTGTACTCATCATTTATAGATACATTATATCCTTGTACGTGAGAAGCGAGCAAATTAGAGAAGATGCAGTGTTTTAGTTGCTAATTCGACTGGGTACACTATGATAGTATCATAGTCTAATAACAGGGAACCATACATTGATTGTGTACCTCTTTTTGAATTTGGAAAATCTTCCATCAATTTTCTGATGAAGACTATTTATTGATCTAACTATTCAAGCCTTCTTCTTGCAAACCACTATAGAATACCTTCAAGTGTCAAGGAGAAATTAAATATTAAAAATAGGAGAGAGGATATGTTTTTATGTTGCTTTGGATAATCAATACTTAAGTCTTGATTGCATTCTGAAAGCTACCCTTTCTCCAACATATTAGGAGGAAATCTTATTTACTGGATGAAATCAAGTGGCTCATGAGATCTCTCTTCATCAAATATCCAAAACTACGCCTAAATTGCTTGGGATTGGCTGAGCAGCTATGTTGCTTTAGTCAGCTCAAACCCAGTTTAGTTTGTATCATAATTGTAAAAGATATGGCAACAAAAACACTGAATCATTTAGGTCACATTGTAGTGAAACTTTATTTTTGTCTTTCTGAACATTTTATGAGAAAGGGAATAATAGATCGGGAGGCTTTTTAGTTTAGACTTCACATGTTTGGTCTGGGTCAATTGAACTTTGTTTTAACTTGTGCATTCTCAAGACCCGTTTGATTAAGCAAAATTACCTACTTTAGATCGAGTGCTAGTTGGGGTTCCCAGATTCCTCCTTCCGCCTAATCAATTAAGAATTGTATTGCGAATGTAGTTGAAAGCTCGTGTCATTTGTGCATGCGATAAAGACTAGTCCCTTCAAGTGACGTTCTTTTTGGAATTTGTAAGCCTGCTCGTGAACAAGTAATCGTATTGCTTTTGTCGAAGGCTTCACGTTAGCAAGTGCCGAAAGCAAGGTTTTTAGACACTAGGTCAGCGCAGCTTGAGTCATCAAATTGTTAACTCATTTACACGGCTAGGCTGGCTTAGCCCCCTATGCTATTGGCGCTTCCAAAGGCTATGTGTTAGTCTTTGGCGATCCACAAACATATGCTCTTCGATGACCTTTTGTTTTATAAAGATTAAAGTTTGATAGAGAATATTTCTATAGTGTTAAGGGAGTTGATGAGTGATTTTGTGGTCTTGTTTGATGAGAAATATAAGCAGGGAGCTGGTAGAGAGTCAGAGATTTTGTTATTGGTATGTGTTGAGATAGCACGTTTTGAATTTGTTTAGGTGTAAGTTCATGAAGCTGATAAAACTATGGTATATGAAAGTGTGCTATAGAGGTAAGATGTCACAAAAAAGAAAGAAGAAAGAGGCTGAGATAATGGGAAAAGTGGAAACCTCCCCTTTTTTTTCCTTATATTCTCTTTCGGTTTATTTTCTTTTTCTTTTTTGCTTTGGGGCAGGGGGAGGGAGTCATGAAATTACATACATAATTCATACAAAAATAGAAAAAAGAAAAACCAAAGCAGGATTGGATAGTTGTATACTTCTATCATCAACTTATTTCTTTTCTCCCTCATTTGTTCCTTTTTTACCTTATTATTATTCTACTTTTTCATCTCTTTTTTTCTTTGGTTCTCAATCTTTCCCTTCATCATTATTTGTAGTTATATAGGCTTGTCTTTTATCATTTGGAACTGTATTCTGATGCATAAGTTATTAATGGAAGTGTCGAGAGTGGGTGTCCCTAATCTTTTAGAGTTCAGTGAGAACTTGTACTAACTTTCAAAATCCTTCTACTCCCTAACCACTAAGACCCATAAAACCTGAAAACTTATACCCTTTCTGGATTTCTCTTGCTAGTAATGACTCTTTAGCTTGTTCTTTTAAACATCATACTTCTACAATCTTGTAATCCTAAGATTCTAGCTTCAAGATGTGATTCAACCAAGAGCAGCAAACATAGAATTTGGATTGATATTCAAGCGATATTTGATGTTTATTTGTAACTTTTTATTTTCTAGATCAATAAATTTATGGTTGTATTGATTTGGGGCTGTTCGCATTCAAACTCAGCCTTGGGTTCTTTGCTGTTTGCTCAATTGACAACTATGACCTTGAAATTGAACAAAGCTTGGCACCCAATTGCTTAATTGATTAACTGTGACCTTGAAATTGTAAATAATTGGGGCATGTTAGTCTTCTTGTTTATGGATGGAAGTTTCCTCAACCTAAAGAAATGAAATGACTACCATTTAAATGTATGAGACAAGATTATCTTAAATAAATGGTTG